TTGCAGTCCCAGATCGTTCCCATGAAATGAGGAGATTCGTAAGTTCTCTATTTCTTAAACAGGGAACTTAAACATTAAGTTAACCCTATTCCAAATACGTTTTTAAACTTTTCAAATGATGAAAGTTATTGTTGTTTTTAAGCGTTTATTAGCAAGTGGGAACGACCAACATAGCCGCCATCTATTCAAATGGGGGTAACCGCTGGACTTTTCTTGGCTTCAATTTTACTAAAAGAGATGCGCTATCTAGTGTCTATGGACGCTATCTATGGACGGCGCCCGAGATATTTCAGCGCTATTTAATGTGAAAATTCAAATTGGCGGGAAATTTTTAGTTGAGCGGCTTCTTCCATTGTTTACAAGTGGCTAGTGCTCATTTCGCAGCGTTTTCAATGCAGAAAATTGAAAAAATCGTGGAAAACAAGGACTTAGAGAACACCAAAAAAAGTACTAAACTGCATGGCAAGACAGGTTTATTTCAATATTTACATTTACGAAAAGTTAATCAATTCAATGAATATTTATTTGTTTTCAATTGTTGCTTTTTTTCTTTTCTTTCTGTCACAAAATGAATAATTATTAACTATTATTGAATTCGGCTTGCGCAGGATACCAGAATTATTAAGACATCGGTCAATGTTATCTGTCTCAGCCTTCGGCTTCGGCAGATAACATTGACCTCGGTCTAAATAATTCTGGATATCCTTCTCAGCCTCATCCAATAATTGTTAATAATTTTAGACAATACTGTTAAAGTCATTAAAAATCCTTCAAAACTGTTTCTATTTATTTTGGTGCCCTTTAGAGTTTTGTGAAAAGCGCGAGCATTTTCTACATGGTCAGAAACCTGATGGCGAATAGAGGAAATTAGCTAGATTGTGTTTTGTTTTGTCCCGGAGTATTGAGCACGCACATACAAGTATGCGTTCATAGGTTATTTTCATTCGCGACTCGTTAGTGCAAAGCAAATATATAAACGCCGTTTCATGCATTGGTGAGCATTTAAGGTGGAAAGAACGAATTGATAGTATCAGGATCATCAAAAGCTATTGGAATTATTCGACGAGTAAAAAAATATGTTTCACAAGATACATTAGAACTAATGTATCATTCTTTAGTTCTCCCGTACTTGGACTATTGTTCTATTGTCTGGAATAATTGTAGTCAGACGTTAAAGGATAAAGTTCAAAGGCTACAAAATAGAGCGGCGAGAGTTATTACAGGAGATAATTATGATATTCGATCAAGTGACATCTTTAATAAGTTAGGATGGAATAATCAGCAGGATAGACGAAATTCTCAAACTATGAATTATGTTACAAAGGTTCTTTGGAAAAATGCCCTGAAGGGATTAATGAAATGTTTCATGTTATTTGTAATGATATTTATAATCTTCGGAAGCAAAGACTTGGTGCTGGAACTATCAAAACCAAATACAAATGCCATGAAAAGATCCTTTAGTCATGCGGCCGCCAAATTCTGGAATTCCCAAAATAAAACTAAACGAGCTGAGGTAATTAACAGTGTTAGAAATTGTAGTTAAATAATAGTTATTCAAATATTTGTAGTATTGTAAATTTAAGTAAATGCACGGCCCTTTGAGAATCGGCCTTTATGATTTCTTGTACCTTTTTCAGCTGAAAGGCTATTTTTAAATAAATAAATGAATAAATAAGGATGAAGACTTCCTTTCGTTCAAGCATAAAGGCTCTTTTCCGCTCATTGCAAAACGCCCTCGCAAGCCTGCGGCGAGAACTTGCATCTAATTAGAATAAACTTTCGAGCATTGTATTGGATAAAAGTGCTCGCAGCGAACTTGCGGGTTGGTCTTTGCGATGAATACATAAGAGCCTTAAGTTATAAGTTTTTTTGGCCGTTGGAGTGCAAAGGAATTCATCATGTTACTAGTGTTATTTATTATTGGAAATATCGTCCCTGCATGATTGATGCCAAATTGATAATATAAGAGCAACTAGTTTAGAAAGCATTTTGGGGAAAAATGTTATAAAATGACATTTATACGAGTGGAGAAAACTATAGCCTTATACATTTTCGACACTGTAAAATATATACAAAACAATGTTTCGCACTGTTGGGTGCATCAGAAGAATGTTTGATTATTTGATCTATTTGCTTTCGTTTCTGAATTTTTAATGAATATATATTTACGAAATTTCCTGTCTTGCCTGCCCTATTTATAGCTACTCAAAATTCTTAACTCTATATTCGAAACATCTCCATCAAACGGCATCTGTCGCATATATGCGGTATGACTTTGACTGACGAGAGATGGGAGCATGCTCTCCGGATAATAAATTATACCGCTCAGTGTACCCAAGGCTCTGCGTGGTCAGATTCATGATGGCGTTGACTGTAAAGTTTCAGGATTTAGCTGTTAGTCCGATGTGCCATTCCTGTACAGTATTTAGCCGGCAAGTAACTCGGGCGAGTGAGTAATTTTGTGAAATGGGGTCGTCGTTATTACTGCACGGATGGTGAATTTTTCAGCCAAGTTGCAATGCAGTCCATTGAGAGTGTAGAACATGATATCAATGTAAGCGTTGTTAACATATTTTAATTGCCGTAAAACTATTCATATATGTTTACCTGGTTGTATAATTATGGAAACGGGTGTAATTTGTGTGATTATGTTGAACCGAAATGATGAAAATGGTTCTTTTCTTGTTCGTGATGAAGTAAGCAAAGCGTAATTACTGGTTATCCTTACTGTTAGACAACAATTGATGCTCTTTTCAAAAATTAACGGGCCTGACAATACAAGCTCACAGTGAGTTTTTGGATCTCAGTGGTATAGAAAACGTGAGGACCTTAGGGGCACAGGCCCTACTGCAATAATTGAAGTGAAGAAGTAACTCCCGTCCCCAACTTTATTCTTCCACATATAGCATTAATATTCTGGAAGCGGTCTTCGACAAAGTACGTTTACTACAACTATACTACTACATGGAGAGACAATTATGCTGAGTGTACTTTACAAGTTATTGGACACTAAATAGCACGATAGTTCAATGGTTTACAGGTAGGCCTATGTTGTGGATTGAGGTACATCACAATTATGGATGTCTAACCATCACCGTTTGGTCAACTCATCTTTGGAACCATCATATTTACTGTAGTTCTTTGGTATTACAGTTTAATGATAATTTTAATTCTTAGAATAGAACCTCATTGTGACCTCATTTTCCACTGGATTGAACTGGAAGGCATGCAACAATATAAAATTAATTTAGAGTTCTTGTTTCTCTTCAGAATCAGTTTGAGTAAGTTTCTGATGAAGTGAGTCATTTTTGGTTGTTACTTACTCACTGTCATTCCTGCGGCATCTCACTTTTACAGGGAACTAGCCTGCAGAAATAGTAGACTGTTTCGCGGCACAATAAATAAAATATGTTGCGATTAAATAAAGCTTATTAGCCAGGCAGCTGGGTGGAAAAACTTACCCTAACGAGGGACAATTTGCCTCCATCTTCTGCCTTTCAGGGTAGTAAGTACATTTCTGCATGCTGGCAGCGTTCAAACTTCTCGTGGGCTCCTGCGAACACGTTTTTCTCCGATTTTCCTAGTAAACTTCTATATTGTTAAAAAACGTGAAATTTCAGGCTTACTTATAACAAAAATGATTGGCATCATTAGAAAGCCCATAAAAAACTACATATAAGATATTTAAACGGTTACACAGATTTTCAAGTTCTTCTTGTATTATGAGCTGTTGAATACTTGCTTTCCGACTACTACCCATGATTTCTGTGAGTTTTTGGTCTGTTTTTCACATTTGGAACAGCAATAACTCGAACACCACTTAAAAATTTAGGTAACCATTTAAATGTCCCATATGTAGTTTTTTATGAGCTTTCCAATGATGCCAATCATTTTTGTTATAAGTGGAACCTGAAATTTCACGTTTTTTAACAAGATAGGAATTTACTAGAAAATTTCGAGAAAACGAGCAGGAGCCCACAAAAAGTTTGAACGCTGTCAACATACAGAAATGAACTTACTACCCTTAAAGGCAAAAGATGGAAGCAAAATGGAATTGTCCCTTGTTAGGGTAAGTAAACATGCATTTTGTACCTTTAGCTGCCGGACTATATGCTTGTCGAATAAGCTTAGACTGACTTAAATTAGTTATCTTTACCATTTAGTTTTGGGCTTGCTGTGCCAAGGACACGTGACATAATTTGGTGCGCTTTTTGAGAACAACCTTAATAGAAATGAAAATAGCACAACGCATTGTTCTCTATGGATATTCACTCATATACGAACAGTAAACCAAACCTGATTCTAGTCTTTTACGACAATGTTTCTCTTAAAGTGGCTCTATCGCGCTCTCTTAGTCGGTAATGACATTGCGTTTCACAATTGTCCGTAGCAAATGTCTAAAGAGACAATGTGTGTAGAGAATTATTAAGTATTAATATTTGTACAGGTTGTCCCAAAAAATGTCCTCTTACAAAACTAACAATATAACCGTTGTTGACAAGAAAAAGTCAAAAATATATTTGACACAAATAACGTAGGTTATTATCTATCTTTAGTTACAGCTGTCGGTTACACACAATGGAATCACTTACATTTGAAGTAACCATGTGAGAATAGCAAAATCCCAACTAGCGTATTGAAATGGTGCAGTTGAGCAAACATTTTGTGTCGAATACTCGATATTTGGTTTTGAAGTACCGGCAGACAAAAAGTCCAAGGTAGCCAAGTTGAGCGTTTGAGCGGCCATTTTGATCAAATTCGGGAAATTGAGCAAAATGGATGTGGAAATCAAAATGCAATGTTTCGGAATTGCGTGGCAGATACTGTTTGAAGCTACACGACAGCTTAGTCAGAAACACAAAATGTGTCATGCTTTTACAATTTTGCATTAACTTAAATAATTACAGGATGATTCTTCTCAGAGTGCCATTCTTTTGGATATACTGTATATTAATTATTAATTTTTGTATATTTTTGTGTATTTTGGTTGTAGATTAGCGATGGGCACTAAGCGAGCAATATCCATCATAGGGACTGGAGATTTTGGATGCGCACTCGCCAAACGACTAATCCAGAATGGTTACCAGGTTACTATTGGAAGCCGCAGTCCACTCAACCGGAACCTCCAGAAGCGTGACGAAATACTTAAAGCTGCACATCTCGTTTCTGTACGAGACTGTATCATCGCTTCAAACATGGTAATTGTCGCTATTCCTTATAAGTACGCAGACTCCCTCAAAATCCATGAAGATTTTTTACAAGGCAAATTGCTGGTCGATGTCAGCAATCCATCCAAGAGATCCGAAGAAAAGTCCAATGCAGAAAAACTTGCTGACTTGCTTCCCAAATCAATTGTCATCAAATGCTTCAACACCGTATCTGCATACTCAATGGGAGATGACACTTCCAACGAACATCGCCAGGTTTACGTAGCCAGCGATGACTTGTCTGCCTTGGAAGCTGTTGCCCAGATGTCCAGAGATATTGGATTCGCTGTCCACAATGCTGGCAGGCTTCATATGGCTAGAGATCTGGAGTCTGAACCTCTGTATCTGTTTCGAGGTTGGGGCTGGCCTACTTTATTCACGATTGGCTTGTTTCTAATGGAGCTCCTCTATCTCTTTGTTGTCATGTATATCGCGGTAGATAGGTACGATACCAGTCAGATACCAACCTACGTGTTGTACAAGGCAACTGGGGCGGTCAGTGTCAACCTCCTGGCATTCTGTTACCTACCAGGAGTACTGGCAGCCTTTGCTCAGATCTACTATGGCTCCAAACACACACGTTTCCAGCCATGGTTAGATAGCTGGCTACAAGGTCGCAAACAACTGGGAATCTACTCTTTGTTGTTTGGCTTCATGCACATGATTACGGTGATGAGCTGCATGAATGGATCTTACTTCGATTACCTCTTCAAACAACAATACGTCATTGTTGAAGTCAACGCCACAGAAGACACCAAGATTCCAGTCGATACCAAGATGAACCTGCACGGTGAAGGATGTATTGCCACTGGGCTGATCGCTCTCTGTTCAATGGGGATCATTGGTCTCACCTCAGTCCCTGCTATTGGGTCCCTGATGAACTGGCGGGAATGGCGCTTCATCCAATCTCAGTTCGGCTTTGTCTGCTTCATGCTGACAGTGGGGCATTGCATGGTCCACGGAGTAGCTCGATGGATGATCCAGCGGGACCTTCTCCTCAGGAATAGCTTTATGAGCCTGATCTTGCCTTGGTTGACACTGTTTCTAAAAATCATCTACTTCGTTCCTTGTGTACACATGTACGTATGGAAGATCAGAGGAGGGTATGAAAGAGAGGTTAAATATGACTCAGAGAAAGGCGATGCTGAATCCTACACTAACAAAGCCCTGGATGACGATTCCGGTCTCAGTACACAATCCGGCTCAGATGAAGGATCAGAAAAATCAGAAGAATCAATATCAAAAAAGGCAAGCGATGCCAGTGATACCTTCACCGAATTTAGAGAGGAACACGAGACATCATTTGGTGGTAATGATACAAATCTGTAATGTAACACTTTTAACCCTTCATAATTACATGTAGTATTGTTCCTATAAAAAATACCCAGCCACCCTATCCACCTTTGTGTTTATCGTATATAATTGGCCTTACCTAAAAGCTATGGATGTTAAATTGGCTTCATATGTACTTTTTGTTGGTTACAATGAAATTTTGACAATTTTTATTCTGTTCTCTCTTTAAACTACATTTTCTGAAATTTTGCAACAATTTTACTTGGCACATACCATAATTTAGGGAAACAAGCTTTTTGTAGCCTCTGTGTTCACCTAAAATGTTCATTGTTTGCACCGTTAATTCTCGTTAATATAAATCAATTGAGCCAATATTAGTAAACGTAATGTGTTTTGTTGAGCCCCTGGGAGCATTATGCTAGCCTAGTTTTTCGTTGTAGGCTCAAACGACGTGATAGCTATTATAATGCTGTGTTGTGTAAAATTAAACGTCTATTATATAATTTTAAGTCTGTTTTCTTTGATATACCGCGGGATATAACTATGTTATTTACCTTGAATAAATAATTAGATGAAAATTGTGGAGAAATCTCGACTGAAAGCCTTTAAAGTCGACAAAATCTTGTTGGAAAACCTCCTCAAAAATTATATACGTAGGTTATATACCTCGAACTTGGGATACAAGTCAGTTATTCGCCCTCGGAGCCTACGGCACCTCGAGCTCAGCTCAATAGCTGACATATATCCCGCATTCTAGGTATTTAACCTATACTTATATATCCGCATTGTCTGCAAGAACGGTCCAGCGAATTCTGACTCAATTTTCGTTTGGCTTGATAATACATCTATAACTTCCTTGATGTATCCTGATTCTTGTTCAAATAGTCATTCTTGAATATTGTCTTATATTTTTGTTTATCCTCAAACATATTAGACACGTTCAGGAATCCAAAATGGCGCTCATGATTAGGACGGATATTTACAATTTTTCTAACTTTGCACTGAAGTCGTGCGAGGGTCTACAGAACATGAATCCGTGTTTTTATATTGAATAACGCATGTTCATTTCACGAAAGTAATAATAAGCCAAATATCTATTTGGGACGGGCGATTTTAGAGGCAGTAATATTTTTCCCATTGGAGTCCGTAATTCATGATCGAAAACCTAATGGATTCCGCAAGGCGTAGTAAAAAAGTGGATTGCCTCTGAAATTTAAATCCTATTAAAATATGTAGATGAATAACTAAGTTATTCATATCAAATGAGAAAAGTTTTGATCAAACTCATTTCCCGCGACAACGAAAGGAGTCTTTATGAGGCAAATCCTCCCCTATGCATGGGCGGCTAACATTTATGAGATGGTGTCCTTGTTAGACATTATTTCTTGTTAATGTTCGTCTTAGGTTTATTGGAGAACAATGCTAGTCCATTTAGTTAAAATTTCACTTTGTATGACAGAATTTTGTAAGCTGGAGCACAGGGAGCAGAGGAGTCGAGTTTATCTAGTAAAATAATACAAACGCCATCTTGCCTTGTTAATTGTAATATCTTTCATTTGAAATTGTCGTGAAACATATAAAGTTTACAAACATTGTAAGATTTTTTATTCGTACTTCATGTAATTTCATGTAACAATTATTGTGGGCTCACATTTCGCTATATTTAGTAAACAATAAGAAACGAAGAAAGGGAGGAAACAGAGGAAACAGTCATTGGGGTGATATTTTAGGATGGCTATAACTTGCTTAATATTTCATAAAAAAACATAATTTTTTGTATGCCATCTAGAAATTATCTATTCTTACTATGCTTGGAAATACATTTCAATAAACGGTCGTTTAACCCACATATTTGACGATCGATATTCATCGATTATTTTCGTACGATGTGCACCGCAACACCCTATGACGGAAGTGACGTATTGCTTCGTGTTTATGCATGATTGATTCAAATTTTCCGAATACTAATTACAACTGTCAAATGAAGTTCTGCTTCGTCATTGGTCAATGGCCGGTTTTATTCACTTCCGTCATAGGGTGTTGCGGTGCACATGCGACGAAAGATCTGCAATGTTTCCTCCCTTTCTTCGTTTCTTATTCGTTGATATCTCGGCCATTGTTCGTTAGCTTTTCGGAAAATACAAGTCTACGGTAATTCAAGGCAGCGGAGTATATTAATGTTGAAAATTCATATTTTTGTTTCATATTCGATAATTTTGATGAAATAAATATGCATTTTTAATGCGAACATTGGGATTTTAAAATGAAATATACTACAATTGACAAGGTAATATGGTGTTTGTCTTGTTTTACTAGATAAACTCGACTCCTCTGCTCCCTGTGACTGGAGATGGATATTTTTCCGTACAAACGCGATTAAGCGACAATGTATCTCCGCTCGGTGGTCACCTGTCATCAATTAAAACCTCTAAAATAAATAAATACTCGCAACAAATCAATATCACAATAATTGTTTGTGTTTAAAGAAGGCGTTTTATTCGATGTTCCTTCTACTATTTATTAAATAAAAAGTATTTTAGACCAATTCCGTCACCATTATCGGAAAATAGTTTGTATTTGAAATATATTTGTAGTTTTGGCTTTTGTTTACAATATGCATTTCGCTGATATTAATTAAAAGTTGTCGATTTCAATGTTTCTTTTAATATCCGGTTTCTATAACTGATTCAATGTAAATAACACGGCGCTTTCGTTTTTTGACATGCTTTTTCTTAAGATTCTCTTTACTACCATGCCTGGCCAATGTTTTTTTTAAGTAAGAAGGATCCAAAACAATGTAGAGACTGTCGAGGACTGAGTGAGATGTTTCGGCTTTCTTCATGCAATGATAATGTGCGGAGACACTTCGAAGGCTTGCGCATTTCCGGGGAAATCGTCTCTGAAGTTGAACTGATTTCGTGTTATATATCACGCAACCCACACAGGACTCGAAAATTCGTAAATGGAAGAGATGTTATTATTTATTAGCTTACAAATGTGCAAAGATGTGCAAAAACAGTATGCGGGGTATTTGTACCTCTCGGAGCAAGATTAAGGGCTTGTATACGGATGCGGTTATCTGGCTTTAGTGAAATTGTGTTTTTCAGCTGAGTGTCAGTTATATTTTATGCTTCTCCAGATATCCGCAAATCGATTGCATTATTATCCATAATCTTTATTGTTTTACAACTATTTCCTCTAGCTGCTGAAAGAGTCGCAAAACAAATGTAGATAGAGAGGAAAACGCCTGGTTAAGAGACGAAAGCCGTTCTCCAGAATGTCCAGAGAAATTGACCTATGTTGGAGGTATTGGGCAATATATGGCGATATGGAGATAAGTCTTTTAAGAGACTTATAGTTAAAAGCATACACAGTTTATTAGTTTATTAAAGAAATCTGTATATTGGTCAGATGTGTTCTCAAAAACTGCAGGCTTTATTATTTGCTAGTGAGGAGTTTGAATAATATGTGCAGATCTGAGCTGGTGTCGGGCACCAGCACATACAAGTCCTTGCTTCACCTGCCTGGAAAGCAGAAGACTATAAAACATACTAAGAGTAAAGCAACTATACATACATGCATAGCTATATACAACTTCAACGAAAAAAATATCTTTTCGGATGGTACTAGCAAAATGAGCTGATGGACTCTTGATAGAGGAATACATGTACAGTGGAACCCCGCCTTACGGCCACCCCGTTAATACGGTCACCTCGATAATACGGTCACTTTTTTTTTTGTCCCGGCGAAACACTAATACATTTTATAATAAAGTTACCCGGTTAATACGGCCACCCCGTTAATACGGCCATATTGTAGAGTCCCGAACTAAAGAAATCACCCCGTTAATACGGTCACTCCAAAAAATAATGTGTTTACGGACGGAAATGGAGTATAATTTAAGACACCTTGTGCAGTCAAACACACAATTCAAGTTGCATCATATTACTAAATTTTTTATTTTTATTGTCAGCCGCGCAAAGGAAAAGAAAGAATACAAGGTTCTTTAGCGACGTTGTATTCCCTAACATTGTTTCTTTAGTGAAAACTTTATTTGAACTTTATAATGTTTAGTTATTAATAGGTATTATGGTGGGTATGGTGTTATTGTGATTTTCGAATAAATATAGCTTTAATGACGTCACAATTGATATTTGATCTCACCCCGTTAATACGGCCACCCCGTTAATACGGCCATATTATTTCGGCCCGTTGGTGCCCGTATTAACGGGGTTCCACTGTAATAACTATAACCAACTGCATACCATTTTTATTACAAAGATTGAGTTTTTTATATCGGCAGTGAAAAGCTTATACGCGTCTTTCGTTTACTTTTATAATTTTTGAACGTACTCTTATTGTCACATCATATACCACGCACCATGTTTTATTTATACCTCGCATAGTGGGTCAATTTCTCTGGGCTTCCTGGAGAACGGCTTTCGCTTCTTAACCAGGCGTTTTCCTCGGATCTTTACCTACATTTGTTTTGTGAATTTTTCGGCAGCTAGAGCAAATTGCTGTATAAAACATGTATTATGAATAATGCAACGATTTGTGGAGATCTGGACAGGCATAAATACACTGTAAATTAAAAAGGGCTGAAACGACCCCCAAAATGGGGCCAAAACGGTGACCGCAAAATAGATCTTTTTTGGGGTCAAAATGGCACCTAGCTATAACAATGCGACCCCTAAGGGGTGATTTGGTCCTTCCAGTGTAAGGGCTGTTTCAGCTTTAAGTAGGAGCTGTTTTGGCAAAAGCAGGGGCTATTTCAACTTTCAATAAGGTTGTTTCAATAAGAGCACAGTTTCAGCCCCAAAGAAGAGCTGCTTTAGAGCCGAAGGAGCTAATATAGCTTTTTTCATGGTGTAGTTTGTAGCACCCAAAGGGTCAATTTGGTCCAATTTCAGAGCCATTATAGATCCAAAAGAAAAGCCAATTTAACCCCCTACTTTGTTTACCGGAGCTGTTCTGGCCCTTTCAGAGGAGAGCTGTCTCAGCCCCAATGAAGAGGTGCTTTAGAACCGATTGAGCTGATATAGCTTTTTGGTGGTGCCGTTTTATATAGAATTTAAAGTCATGTCCATGATTTGATTGCACTCTTGCATGTAGACGTATTCTACATGTATATAATGAATCAGGCAAAAATAATGGGGTTTATTTGGTCGTATTACAATTTCTCCAACAGACCAAGATTGGAATTAATTATTGTAATATAAGTTGAGATAAATAATGTTCCAATTTCTGTATTATAAACACAATACTATAACTAAAATTACAATATACATGCACAGTAGTCAGTATTATGGATCTCACCGAAATGTGGGAACCATCAAAAGATTCGTACATATATGCCATATGGCTCCAAAAGTTTACAATTCTAATTTTAAAGAGCAATCAACTTGTGATAGCAATAGCAGGCGCGGTTGTTAACGTGAACGCAATACGAATAATTTCTAATACATTACCACAGTTCGGTGAGATGTGAGACAATACACACATACCATCAATAACATTAACTTGGGTTAGCATATGTCAACATAACTCTCAAAAAGTGTAAAATTACAGTAGTACTAATATTCATGAGTCATGACAAGTCATTGAAGAAGGCTGTGACCCTCATTAGTGAGCTTAAGCAAGTGACGTTTTTGACAACACTGACGGCATGAGCAACGTCAGAATACTGGGTCAAGGACTGTGATTGGTAAAAAACGTCAACTTTACCTCCGGTCGAAGTCCGTGTTGTCAAAAACATCACTTGCTTAAACTCACTATTGGCAGTTGTATGCCATTTTCGGTGTTGGCCATGCACTGGGACAAGATGCTCTTTGTGTGGCAGTACTCAATATTGAAGATGTAAAAACTTGCCAATAAGGCGATAATTGCATCAAAACAACTGTTTCTTGTTATGGAACTTTCATCCTTTCCCTCGATAACGTATGATTGACAGTTTCTAGTCGTATTCTAGTTCGCTGCCAGCGGCCACAATATGGGTTGTGATAAGTTTGAAATTGTATCATTTACATCTTTGGACTCCTACAAAAAAATACAATTAGAATGTATGCAATAATCCGAAATTATAATTACAGAGGGTTATAGGACACATAAGATATAAGGTCTCACCAAGAAACCCAGTAATAAAGCTCTTACATACATCAGACACAAAATACCTGAAAAAGTATATCACACCCGACCCCTATAACCCTTCCAAAAGCATTAAATATAACATACCAATATACAGTAATATTTTGAAATATCAAAATATATGCTGCCTCGCAACAAACTCTCCTAAAAATAAGCTCACTATAAGCACACAAATATTATTCAAATTTACAGTATACTGTATCATAAGAAAAATAAATACAAAATTGGAAACATGAATTTCCATAGCCTGGCCATGGTACAAGTGATTCATGGAGACTGCATAAAAACATAATACATGATATACATATAACTATACAATCTTATTTACCCATTAAGCACCAGGGCTCTCCCCTTTACGAGTAGAATAGGCGTTCGACAGAGTAGAGTAATAAAGTTCAAAATCATTTTGTTTGAATTACTTCACCTATCTATTTGTTTAAAATTACTGTTTTTCTCTGTATCTCATGCTTAATAAGCCTACCATTTTTAAATTTCAAATGTACAACAGATACTTTGGGCTATTTATTGCCTCTTTCTTTCCTCTTCTATATATTAATAGTTTTTCTTTGGAAAATATCAGTAATCATATTTCTAATCTGTACAGTTCTGTTCCTACACAACATCTTCGCACCCACACATCGTGTTTAGGACTGAAGTTCCAGATCATGGAAATGCTCTGCCAACAGCCCTGCGGGTTCCCAAAGAGTGTATAGCCCATGTATATCATAGTACAAACCATAGAAATAAAATTAAAACAATATATTTCCATTTCAAATGCTTTTTCATTAATGTACAATAACTAGGGAATTTTATGTAAAGTGCAATTCTACATTCTCTTCGATTGATTTGAATATGTTTTTGGCTAGCATTTATTTGATGTAGCTACAACAAATCCACTAAGTTTCAATGGACATAGTCACATAGCATCTCCCTATTTGAAATAAGCCATAAGGCATTATATTTGGTATTTTAATATCTTAATTATTACAGAAATGATTGCACAAGTCATGAGTTTTGACAAATGTTGATCTATATTTTCAATATTAACCCCATTAAGCACCAGCGTTCTCCTCTCGAGACAGAGTAAAAAAAATAAAGTAGGCCGCAATGCGACTCAATGGGTTAACTATAAACATGGCCAAATAGGCCAGTTAACCCATTAAAATTAAGCACCAGCGCCCTTACCTTGACGAGTAAAATCATCTGGTGTTAGACAGAGTAAAATAATAAATTAGGGCACAATGCGACTCAATGTGTTAACAACACACATGGGCAGATAGGCCAGTTAACCCATTAAGTACCAGTGCTCTCCCCTTAATGAGTGAAATTGTCTGGCGTTAGAAAGAGTAAAATAATAAATTAGGGCGCAATGCGACTCAATGGGTTAACTAGACACATGGGCAGATAGGCCAGTTAACACATTAAGCGCCAGCACTCTGCCCTTAATGAGTAAAATTCTCCTGCGATAGGCAGAGTAAAATAATAAATTAGGCCGCATTAGGGCACAATGCGACTCAATGGGTTAACTGTAAACATGGGCAGATAGGCTAGTTAACACATTAACCGCCAGTGCTCTCCCCATGATGAGTAAAATTGCCTAGCGTTAGACTACCAGAGAAAAATAATAAATACTTAGTGCGCATCAGGGCGCAATGCGACTCATTGGGTTATTAACATCAACAATGTTTCAAATGTCAAATCTGCCATGCTCAATATAATCATAGATTTGACTATTAATTTGACATGTAAGTCAGATGTCCTGTATACAACAACATCAATATACAGTATACTATTAAATCAATCAGCCACAAAATTGTCAATCGTGTATTATTCTCGGCCTAAAAGCTAAACCTAATAATCCTAGTTGGTGTTTAGTTTGGCTTTTGCTGCTACTGAAACGACTTTTATATAATTATGTGATTACAGCTCGGAATTACAGTGGGTTCTGCATAAGATTTTATCTGGATTCGATGTTTCACTATTTAGTATCGAGTAAAATCAAGAAATAATTATGGATCAAACGAGGATGAGAGTATTTTAATTAAGTTGAAACATAGTTGGAACACTCATCAAAGCTTTAATAATATTTTGTTCATGTGGAACTTGAAATGTCCTTTGTGTATTTATAAGCAATTCATGCATGACTTTCATCCTCATTTGACCGAGGCTATAATCTAAAATACCAGTTCAAAAACTTACATTATCAAATGAACCAGTGCCAGTATGCCTGATTCAGGAGATGATTCTTGATTGGGAAAGGTTAAACTAGACTGGGCTACTAACAAGTGATATGTCGCAGGATTTGAGCTAGTAGTAGTGAACTGGATATTTCAATGTTGTTTGCACTTTTTTCATTGTCGCTGTCACTTTCAACTAGAACCTACATATACAAAAAATAAATAATCTTACATTAAAACGTGTTTCGTATCGTAAACGTGAAGCTATAAGAACATATTTTGAATAATTGATGTCCGCTGTCGTGATTTGGCCATCAGCAAACAACAGTCTTCGACACGAAGGTGAAGAAAGTAAATAACATTTGCCAGAATTAGGCTAGTACAGCACGAGACGTTTCTTGAACGTATTTTCCTAATAAATTGTTTATTTGTCCAGAATATACTGCATCAAACGAGGTTTTACGCTTGTATTTTATCCGTATCCCTCGTCGAAGCAAATCCCAACGGCTAACGTTCGATAATGGCGCCAAAAGTAGCAGCTGGGAAATTTGTCTGAGCATGCGCGAGTGAAAATTGCGTGGGTGCGTGAAAATTGCGTGGCGCTCGCGGGAAATTTAAAAATCACAATAAACAAAGATGGCGGCAAACTTTTTTAAATGCCTTTTGCCTTTTCTCCTGCTTATAATTCACTTAGTTTCTTCAGTTCCAACTAAAAAAATTCCTAAGTGTATAGTTTGCCACAAATATTTAGACAAAAAATTGGAAACGACACGAAAAAACCTTCCAGAACGTCATGACCACGAAGCTTGCTTCGGCGTGTCGTACGACGAGCCAGGTATACTTTGTTCGGCCTGCCGTAGAGCTGTTTATCGTTACAAAAAGACAGGAAAAACATTCTTCCATGTAAGTATCTTTATTCTTATACAATTAAATATTATTCTTTAAACATATACCTTGCAAACTGCATTTAACTTACTGACAGTCAGCTAACTTCAGTTGGTCCCATTGTACAGTAGATAATTTAACCCTTTAAAATATATACAGATTGTTTTTAATTGTATTTCTATTTTATTAAAGAATTCTATTATTCATGCATTATAAGGCTTGATAAAAACAATTAAGGCTGTAAACATACACCTACAGTAATTACTATAATTTAATTTACAGCTTGTAGTGGATTCTGAAAGCAAGAGGGTTGGTAGGCCAGTCAAAAGAAAGCTACAATATCCTAAGAAAGCACTTGATAATAACTCTGAATGGATGGAGGAATACACCTGCTTTGGCATCATCAAAAGATCTTCATATGGTGAAGTTATTTTACCTCCTGGGTTGTTTGAAGAAATCGATGAAAGCTTCAGAAACCTTTCTGAAAGTATGTCTAAATAAAATGAATGTACATTATAGAATGTAAAGGGATTATAACAGTAATAGGTAGTGCAGGCACTGTATTAAAGAGGAAAAAATGGTTTCTGCCTAGGGTGGTCTTTAACAAAGTTAAAATGAAAAATACTATAATTCTGTTTTTTGCAGGGATGGTTGTCCAATACAGCAGCATTTCACGACTCGTTACAACTTGTAATGAATGTTTCACGAGTCGTGAAGGACTTAAGAGTGCACCCAGCCAAGTGGTGAACTTCACGAAATTCGTACGACTCGTTAAATCCGTGAAATTTCACGACTCGTTACAACTTGTAAGGAATGTTTCACGAGTGGTGAAGGACTTAAGAGTGCAGGAGCCAAGTGGTGAACTTCACGAAATTCGTACGACTCGTTAAATATCACGACTCGTTACAACTTGTAATGAATGTTTCACGAGTCGTGAAGGACTTAAGAGTGCACCCAGCCAAGTGGTGAACTTCGCGAAATTCGTACGACTCGTTAAATCCGTGAAATTTCACGACTCGTGACAACTTGTAATGAATGTTTCACGAGTGGTGAAGGACTTAAGAGTGCACCCAGCCAAGTGGTAAACCTCACGAAATTCGTACGACTCGTTAAATCCGTGAAATTTCACGACTCGTGACAACTTGTAATGAATGTTTCACGAGTGGTGAAGGACTTAAGAGTGCACCCAGCCAAGTGGTGAACCTCACGAAATTCGTACGACTCGTTAAATCCGTGAAATTTCACGACTCGTGACAACTTGTGAGGAATATTTCACGAGTCGTGGAGGACTTAAGAGTGCAGGAGCCAAGTGGTGAACTTCACGAAATTCGTACGACTCGTTAAATCCGTGAAATTTCGCGACTCGTTACAACTTGTAATGAATGTTTCACAAGTTGTGAAGGACTTAAAAGTGCAGGAGCCAAGCGATGAACGTCACGAAATTCGTACGACTCGTTCAATCCGTGAAATTTTACGACTCGTGACAACTTGTAAAGAATGTTTCACGAGTCGTGAATGAGTTAAGTGTGCACCAGCCAAGTGGTGAACCTGACGAAATTCGTACGACTCGTTAAAGCCGTGAAATTTCACGACTCGTGACAACTTGTAAAGAATGTTTCACGAGTCGTGGACGACTTAAGAGTGCGCCAGCCAAGTGGCAACACAATACAACAAATAGTTGTTGGAAATCTTGTATATGATCGTAAAAAGTGAGTATATACGGCAAGCACGGTGTAACCGAGTATAATGTTGACGCGAAAGTAAATGAAAAAATGACAACATACAGGAAGGGCATACAAAGGAAGCGGTGAAATTTAAGACACCATGTGATGATGGCACAAAGCAATACGATGCGGTAAATAATTTGCAAGATAAGTTGGAAAACATGATAAAAAAAGTCAAAAAGGAAGAGCAATCAAATAAGTTGGATATTTCGGATCAATTTGGAAAGCACTTTAAGTCATTAATTAAAATACGCTCGATTCAAGCTAAGATGAAGGCATATATTTTCTGATAAAAATTTCGTATTTGTGGTATATTAAATTACAATTCCCAATGACCAATGTTAATTTGATAGGTTAGTGGTAAAAACCTATTGTTTATACTGCTTGGAAGATAATATATGTGATAATACGGAATAGGAAGTTGTTTAAAAGAAAGCAACAGAAACGCACTAAGGTGACTAAGCCTTTGCTTTGTGTTTCATTGCATTAATATTTGTTACCGTTCCGGATTTGAGTGTTAAATTGGTTTTATATTTTTTAAAAGCATATACTTTACAATTGATTTTATTAATTGATTAATGCAGGATTTCGCAATATTTTATGACAATCCTGCAGCGATGACGATACGTATATAGGCATATTCGTTTTCTCGTTGTAAGCGGATCACTGTAACACTGATGTGTGCATGCATATAGCCATAAACCAAATTCCTGGCTTATCGCGTTTTTTTCACTATACATGTTGGTTGCATGCATGCTAATATTCTTAACATTTTAAGCTAACATAATCAGTAACTGGCCCATTATTTAATGAAGGACGTCGGTGAAGGTTTATATCGTTTATTTAGGATTTTCTCACCATGAAAGTGTTTAACCGATATATAAGGGAGCACTCGTTAAATATAAAGATATACATGCAAGCTTCAGTGAAGCTAGCAAGTAGCAATGCCAAACTGTATACGCGCAATCGCTCAATGCCAAAGTATACTTTCATACTGGGTTCATTGAAGAACGAGGCATGATGAGAATATATATATATTGTATCATGATG